TAAAGAAAGAAAAATAAATAAAATAAATGAAAAATCAATAAAATAAAAGAAAGGAAATAATAAAGAATAAATAAAAGAAAAACTAAAAGGAAAATAAAATCAGAAACCCCCCTAAAGTCATCAGACCACGAAAACAAATCAGCCCCAAAAATTTCACTCCCTTTCGTGGCTGCTCTGATCTTCCATCAACACCATCACCACGCATCATCATATAATCACCACCGTTAATCCTCATTGTCATCAATCAAGCATCAATAAGGCCGTTCAATTTTCATTAAACTCACGTGAGAAGCTCGTGATTGAACCCACATTTGCACGCCCGCGAAGACATCGCGCAAAGCTACTGTCTCAACTATGATTTTGGATTCCAATTGCGCGCTTTCTGACAGGGCTGCGCGGCCGCGAAGCTCCAATCAAATTGGTTGTTGCAATTGCGGGCAAATAGTGGTTGCGAATTGGCTTGCGATGCGGTTTGGGTAAGGGTGATTAGAGTTGTTGTTGCGGGTGTTACATTGAAGTTGGGTGGCTGCAGCTGCGGTGAGGGAACAGGGGATTGTTGGTAGGCTGTTGTTGCGGGTTGGAGTCGCTTTATGTGGAGGAGATGGTGGCAGAGGTGGTGTGGTGTGAGGATGGATTAAATGGGGGTCTGTTGCGGGGTGTTGGTGGTTCAGGTGGTTAGGGTGGCTGCGGTTTGTTTGGTGGTGGTTAAGGGTGGTAGATTGGAGGGGGTAATTTTTGTTGCGGGTTGTGGTGGGCTGATAGGTAGTGTTGGTGGTTTAATTGGTGTTGCGGGGGTCGAATTAAAGGTGGTACTTGCTGGCGGTTTTGGTGGGAAAATGGAAGGTGTGGCTGGGTTGTGCTGCTGCTGGCAGCGTGGTGGTGATTGCTGTTGGTGTTGGTGTTGTTGGGCTGATTTGGTTGGTGGCAATTGTTGCTTTGGTGGCTGATGGTGGTTGATTGTGACGGTGGTTGTGTGGTGCTACTGCTGGCTTGCGTGAGGTGTGGGTGTGAGAAGGAGGAGCAGGGGCTGCTGGTGCAAATTGGGGGAAAGCAGTGGTGGAGATGGTTGTTTGGGTGGCTGATGGTGGTGGTTGTGGTGGTGTGCTTAGATGAGGTGTGGTGAAGCATAAGACTGGCAGCAGGGGAAGAGCAGGGAGCATTGTGCATTTGCCTCGAACCTCGGACCCCGAACACGATTTGAACTTGAAACCCAGAACACCTACAACCAAAAACACAAGGGTATTACCACGAAATAAAATAAAATAAAGATAAAATAAAATAAAATCAAAATAACATAAAAAATAAAATCAAAAGAAATTAAATAAAATAAAGAGAACAAACATGAAAATAAAATAAAATGAGAGAAACTAGGAACTTATTAGAAAACAAGAACTAAAAACTTAAAAAATAAACATAGAATATAAGATAAATTAAATAAATTAAGAAAATAAGCTAAAAACTATTAAAAACTACTAAAATACTCAAAATAAAGATAAAATACGAGAATAAGCAAATAATAGAAATAAAGGACAAACAGGGCTAAATTATTGGAAAATAAGCCGGAAAACGACTCAATAAACACCCTAAAAGTGGCATAAAAGTCACTTATCAGTTATCTTAGTACCCTCGCTCCCGAACGTATTTCTGGTTTATAGACCGATTTGGGCATGGGTAAACTTATGATTTGTGCTAATTATTTCATGAACTCCACATGAAGAAAGGCATGAACGAGGTTTATGAGTTTTTCCTAAAACCCATTGGCGACTCCTACTTGTTTCTTATAAAAAAAGCGTGATGATGGAATCAATTCTAATTCAAAGCCCCCCAAACAGTCGGGAATTCAAATCCTACTACACCTTAACAAGTGTAAAGTCCTTGGCTTTTAAGTGGCCAAGGGCATTTAAGGAGAGTACCCCTTACGATGGGATCACCCTCCTGACAATAAGATCCACCTATTCATAACTTGAACAACCTACAAAATAATCCCTTATGATATCTTCCATAATCACTTCAAAATATGCTAGATAAATTAGTAAAATAACATGATAAGTAGCCCTAAACACATGCACAACCTCTATAGGCAGCGACTACAATTATTTTAGATTAACACATCTTATAACTTACAATATTATTCATAAACACCATGAAGTCATCATAGGAAGATTACGTAATAACTAGGCATAGATATCAAACTAAATTAAGCATGGAAGGAAGCAAAATATGTCAAACATCACTCAAGATACACGCATGGGAATTAATTCAAAACCGCAACCGAAACTCGAACCACAAATCCTATACAACGTATCTAATCTCTCCTAAACCAAACAATGATTTTTTAAAGTAAAGGAATAGTGTCCTTCGAACAAGTGTATTATTCTAATAGTGGGTTAAGAATTATTAGAAAGCTAATATATTCAGTAAAGTTAAGTGATCGAAATGCCTGGGTGGAGGCCGCTTCCGATGAACCCTTCGCGTCACACCCAAGCAACCACCGAGCGAAAGCGATGAATTAATTCGGAAGGAATTAATGAAGGAATTAATGAGTCAACCAAGTAATATTTATTTAGACGTCAGAAATTCGTGCTGAGAGCGTCGAAATCGAGCGTCAAAAGTCAAAATAGTAAAAGACTAGACGTGCAAATAGTAATAAATAAGCGTATTTACCAAAATACCTCTAGCATCGGAGTTCCCCGAGAAATTCGAGTGCTAGGGGCACAATGTGTAGCATGGTGGCTAGCATGCACACCAAGTCGAGCCTTAGATGGCTGGTGCGTGCTAGAGCACCAATGCTAGGAGCCAAGGCAAGCCTCGGCACCAAGCAGCCGCAGCAGCCTGCACTTAGAGTGTGTGGCATGCTGGCCGAGAGCAGAAGCAGCCCGCACTTGGAGTGTGCGGCATGCTGGCCGAGATCAGCAATAGCCCGCAACTTATGGGTGCGGGTGGCTGGGTCGAGACTAAGGGAGGAACAAAGGGAATCCCACTTGGGTGCCTTGATGCCCAAGTGGGAGAGGACATGTGGCACAAGGTGAGGGAGAGTGTGGGGAGCAAGTTTGGTCCCCCCTCTCCAAGTGGTCTGCACTTGCTCTCTCATTTATAGTTGACACTTGTTGATTTATTACTAGCTTGCTTAAATAATTTTATTTTACCTTTAAAATAAAATGTGAAAATCTCACTATCCCACATTGATGGGAAAGATAATCATACTCTCATCATTTCCTATAAATACCCAAGTAAGGGCATTGGAAATGATGTTAGAGTAAGAATTGGAAAAGGGATCACTAGAAGTGAAAACCTTTGAACTCAAGAGTTAGAAAAGGTATCACATTTTGTGAAAGCCTTTGAACTCAGTTACTCGGTTTTATCGGTCGGGTCTTGCTAACCCCAAGACATTGGACCTAGTCAGTGATCGTCGTTGCGGGTTGATCATCGTTGGAGGCTTCGTAATTTCGAAGCTAGATTTCAAATAAGAGCCCAAGCGGTCGGGCGAAGCACGCTCAAAGGTAATCTTATTATCTTAATCTTGTTGTTGATTTAATTATGTTTATAGTTTTATTTCTTGCGAGTGCGGTCTTGTTTTTGGGTTTGTTTCTGCGGTGAGTCGGACTCACTAAACCCCAACAACGGTATCAAAGGCTTGCTCGTTTATTTTTAAAATCATATTATTTTTCAAGGTGTTTTTATGACTTAATTTTTCTAGTTTTAAGTTGCTAATTAGATTAGTAGCTCGGTTTATTAATTTTAATCCCGTAATAGAGTTGACTTCAGCTCCCGAATCCAGATTTTGACCCAAAAATAGTGAATTTTGGGTGGAAAAGGCGTTTTGGAAATGGTTTTACCCTTTTAAGATTCGATTTTTAGCCAAAAAAAAAACAACTAGAAATGCACTTTTCGAGGGGTTTTTCGTTTTTACGAAAATTTTTAGTCTTTCTAACCTTGAAAATTAAATGCATATTTTTGGTGGTTATATAATTGGTTCAATACATATTTTTTATGCAATTTTAAACTTCTTTAGGCATGATTACTTGGTGGTAATTTGTGTTTGAAAGGTTGGTTTTATTTTTCACAAATTGCAAATTAATTGCATTAAGTGTGAAATTGTTGTTCTTTGAGGCTTCTAAGTACATAATATTTAATCTTTTATTATGTTAAGTGATTGAAACTTTTAGTTACTAAATTCCATGAAATTTTTTGTTGAACTTTGTTGATTTAATCATATTTTAGATGATTAGAATCATAAAGTTTGAAACTTGTGATAGAAATTTGTTTATCTTTATATTGGAAGATATAATTTCTCAAGGATTCACAAGTATTAAAGTGGGAATCTTTATTAAACATATGTTCATTTTTCCAACTCCCTTTTATTTTGCAAAAATCACAAGATTAATTTAAATTGATTAAATTAATAGTGAGTAATTGCCTTCTTATTTTTGTTGCACTAAGTTAAACATATTTTATAAAAGAATGGTTCTAGGAAATAATTGTGGTTGAATGCACTTTGATGGATTTTATTTGAGTTAGACTTGCTTAATTTTTATTTTGCACATTACGTTAGTTCTAAAAATAATTTAGAATTAATTTTTAAGTCACGCAAAACTCGGGTTCAAAAACCAGAGAGTATGGCACGCAAACAAAAACAACGCCCTTCGGCTAGCCGGGCTGTTGTGCAGCCCGCATGTGGCTGCCAAGGGCTGATGCTTGGTGCGCGTGCGTGGCTGGTGCTAGGCCTGTACAAAACTATCCGAGAATCTGAAAATCCGATCTGCAACCGATCCGAATTTTAGGGTATCCAATCCGAGTTTTCATTTCTGATCGGATTTCGGGTACAATTTAGAATATTGATTTTTAAGTTTTCGGATATTCGATATCCGAAAATATCGGATATCAAAACCGGTATCCGATATCTGATAATTTAAAAGGTAAATATTTAAATTAGAGAATAGATATAGTATATGTTTTTTTAAGAAAATAAATATTCTTAAAACAAATTTATAATCAAACAAGTAGACAACCTATTCACCTTAATCACTTTCTCTTACTATATTCCTAAAAACCATAAATTTCTCCCTTTCTCTTTCTACGCTCAGCCTCTCAAGGCCTCAAGCTGCTACTCCGCCCCACCGCCATGCCGCCACCTCAAGTTCAGCCGCTTAAGATCTCCTTCAGTCTTTCACTCGCCCAGATCTCCTAATACTCGTATTTTCTCGGCTAATCTCCACCTCTCCGGTATGTATTTCAAATTCAATGTTTTGATATTTTAATATTTGTTATGAATTTCGTTTTGTTATCTAAATTTCGTTCTATTTGTTGGCACGTTCGGTTGTTTGTAAGATTTTCGATCTATTTGTATTTTTTGGAATTTCAATTTTTTTATCAGATTTTTTGTATCTATTTGTGTTAATTTTTTATCAAGTTATTGTTTCTAGTTTTTTGCTAGTTTATTTGTCATCTAGTTTTCTATCTATATGTGTTAATTTCGTTGATTTTTTATTGTTTATTTTTTGAATAGCGTGCTTAATTTTTTTGTTTCTTATATTCCTAATTTTGTGCTTCTTTGTTAATTTTTGATCAAATTCTTATTTTTTGTTACTACTTTGGTTGAGCAGGTGTCGGTTGTTGATGACTACATTTGAGGAATTCATTTCAGGCGTATTATTGGTACTGTTTTTTTTTTTTTTTGCTACTTTTTTTATTATGTAGTAAAATGACTTATGTAAACTTTGTAATGTTAAGACTTTATTAAGCTTTGTATTTTTAATTTGAGGAGTTGGATTTGTAATGCACTAAGACTAATGCTAGTATGCCACTACTTCGTATATGAGGAGTTATATGTTAATTAATGGTTTTTTATTAATTAAATTTGCAAAATAGACTATTACAATTATTGTATAGGTTTTTCACAAAATAAAAAATAGTACAGGAATAACAGGTACAGGATTACAGGAATACAACCATAATTAATTTTAAGTTTTCAATAACATTGGATAATGGATATCCCAAATATCCGATCTGCATGATTTTGGATATCGGATATTAGTTATCCGAAATTTTCGGATCGGATTCGGATTTCAATTACTGACATATGATGAATTGGATATCTGATCCGTTAATAGGCCTAGCTGGTGCGTCCGAGTCAGCAAGCAGCACTGCCAAAGCAGCAGCGTGCCGCAGCAACATAGCTATGCGCGCTAGCCACTTAAGGCATGGTGCAGCAGTGGGGTGCGGGGGATGTGCTGTGTGGCTTGTGGCATGGTGCGCATAGCTAGCAAGCTTGTGCAGCTTCGTGGCTTGTCTTCTTGCAAGCCCCGCAGAAGAGTCAAATATTAATTGCGCTTATTTACATAATCGGTTAAAATGACTTTGACTAGTTTTAATTAGGCGTGTCATTTGGATTAACCACCTAGATTAGTTACTAGTTATCGCGTGTTTATGCATTGTTACTTGTAAATCGTTGTAAAATGCATGGGGATTCACAAATTGTGAATGTACGAATGGAATGTATATTCTCTCACAGGTTTTATAAAAATGGCAACTAGTGGAGCCCGATTAGGATATAAAATACGGACTGCGATCCGTGATTTATTTTTGGAAATCTAAATACGGTTTGCGTACGGTTGAGAATTTTTGTACCTTAATATTTAGATTAGCCCTAATCATAAATACTAGTAGTTGCATAATTTTGGTCAAGTTCTGAAGACGGAGATTCTTAGAAGACAAAGCCATGAAGTTGCAAAAGAAGACCTTTTGAATACTTGAAGAGTTCAAGGGGTCATGCTAGTTGCCAATATACATCAAAATGCTTATGCTTTACATATTTATGATCATTTATATACGAATTATATGATAGATGCATGTTTAGGATTTCAAATGTTGCGATGATTAATTAAGTTCACTTAAATCAACCAACAGAGAAACCCTAGGTCCCTAAATATTGAGCAAAATTGTCATTTCAAAACAACACTTATCGACCTGTTGAGAGTAGTGATGGGCTACGCCAAAGCGAGGCATCACTACTACCCCCTAGACTCATAAGGCATACCTTACCTTGGGTTTTATCCACTCTAGGCAACGTTGAATTGCCTCATAAGAGGGATATTTATACCCCTTCTCTATCTCCCCTTTTACCCTAAACTTTCCTCCTTTAGTTTTTCCTAATCCCTTCCCTACTAAAACTTGTTAAAAATCATAATTTCTTAAAATAAAACCCGAACTTCTATTAATTAATTAATTAAACGACTTTTCCTTTTGTAAAATATTCCCAATTTACATGGGATAAATAATTAAAACATCATAATTAAAATGCTAGAGTTATTTAAATACCCTTATAAAATATATATTAAATAAAATACGTATAAAATGTATATATATTAAATAAAATACGTATAAAAGTACGGGGTATTACAGTCTACCCCCCTTAAAACAAGTTTCGTCCCGAAACTTGGGGAAACGAATCTCAAAACTTTTCCTTTTTGTGTATATTATTGTTGTACTTTTTGTCATTTATCATTCCTTTATGTCTCTTTGAGAGCACTAATACCTAAAACACTTGATAGAATTTATTCAAAAAGCACTAGAAGTATGTAAAACATAGGGAAAAAGCGCAAAATTTTATCGCATTCCCCCCCCCCTTAAAGAAAACGAGGTACGCCCCCGTAACTCAACATACCTGAAATAGTTCTGGGTATTTCTTTTTCATTTCATCTTCTTCCTCCCAAGTGGCTTCCTCATATTCTTGGTTAGACTAAAGTACCTTTACAATGTTCACGTTCTTATTGCGTGTACTACGCACTTTAATGTCGAGAATCTTGACTGGTCTCTCTTCATAAGTTAAGCTTTGATCAAACTCAATGGTTTCGGGTTGTAGAACATGGGATTTTTCTGGGATGTACCTTCTTAGTTGGGATACATGAAATACATCATGTACTTTACTAAGCTCCATAGGTAATGCTAACCTGTAAGCTACCTTGCCTATTCTTTGTAGTATTTCATATGGACCAATGTATTTTGGACTGAGCTTTCTTTTATTTCCAAATCTCATCACCCCCTTCATTGGTGATACCTTTAATAACACCTTATCACTAATTTCGAACTCTTCTTCTCTTCGCTTCGAGCCTGCATAGCTCTTTTGGCGATCTTGAGCTGCTTGAATTTTAGTTTGAATTTCCCTTACTTGTTTAAGTGTGTCTTCAATCATTTGAGGCCCTAGGATCATGGTCTCACTAATGTCATTCCAACAAATTGGACTCCTACATTTTCTCCCATACAAAGCCTCAAATGGTGCCATTCCTATGCTTGTGTGGTAACTATTATTATAGGAAAATTCAATTAAATCCAAACTGTCTTCCCAACCTCCCTAGAAGTCTATTACACAAGCTCTCAACATGTCCTCCAAGGTTTGAATAGTTCTTTTAGTTTGCCCATCTATTGCAGGGTGAAACGCCGTACTTATCTTAAGTATTGTACCAAAATTGTCTTGTACACTTTTCCAGAATTTTGAGAGAAATCTGGAATCCCTGTCAGATACAATATCTTTTGGAACTCCATGTAACCTCACCACATGTTTGATGTAAGCTTTCGCAAGTTGCTCCATCTTCCAAGTTTCTTTCATTGGTATAAACACTGATGATTTCGTAAGTCTGTCCACCACTACCCCAAATGGTATCATTTCCATTCCTTGACTTAGGTAAGCAAGTCACGAAATCCATTGAAATGCAATCCCACTTCCATCCTGGAATCTTTAGTGACTGCACCGTTCCCTGAGGCCTTCTATGCTCTATCTTCACCTTTTGACATGTTAAACACTTCGCCACAAACTCAGCAACCTCATTTTTCATTCTTGGCCACCAAAACATCTTCTTCAAATCCTTATATAGTTTGTCCCCTCCCGGGTGTACAGAGTAAGGTGTATTGTGGCCTTCTTACATCAACTTCCTCTTCACCTCCTCACATTTTTGTGGTACGCACCATCTATTTTTGTACCTCAAACTCCCATCTTCGTGGATCTTGAAATCTGTAGTCTTTCCCTGCTTAATCCTGCGAATCTTATCCAACTTTACATCCCCCTCTTGGTTGACTCGAATCTCGTCAAAGATAGTTGGTTGGATGCTTAGATTCTCAAGAATACCCGCTGGTACTCCCCATTCTACGACCTCCAAATTCAATTTCATCATTTCTCTACATAGTTCATTAGCCACTACCAACGAGTTGATTCCATGACTAGTCTTACGACTTAGAGCGTCCGCAACCACATTCGCTTTCCCTTCGTGGTATTGTATGTCCAAATCATAATCTGTCGTATACTCTAACCATCTTCGCTGACGGGAGTTTAAGTCCTTTTGGGTGAATATGTATTTTAAGCTTTTGTGATCCGTGTAAATTCTACATTTCACCCCATGCAAATAATGGCGCCAAATTTTTAGCGCAAAAATGATTGCAGCTAATTCCACATCATGGGTGGGATAGTTTACTTCATGCTTCTTTAACTATCTCAATGCATATGCAATCACCTTCCCATTTTGCATAAGCACGCATCCTAAGCCATTCTTTGATGCGTCACTGTACACATCATATAGTCCACTATCATCCGGGAGTGTAAGTATTGGTGCTGTGATTAGTTTCTGTTTCAAGAGTTGGAACGCTTCTTCATATTTATCGTCCCACTCAAACTTTTTTCCCTTCTTCATCAAGGTGGTCATGGGTTTAGCAATTTTGGAAAAATCTTTAACAAAACGTCTTTAATACCCTGCTAAACCAAAGAAACTTCTCACGTCAGATACTGTCTTGGGTGTCGGCCAACCCTTAACTGCTTCTATTTTGGTTGGATCTACATCTACTCCGTCCTTAGACACGTAATGTCCCAAGAAGGATACTTTTCCAACCAAAACCCACACTTAGAGAATTTTCCGTAGAGGTGGTTTTCTCTTAGTGTTTGCATAATTGCCCTTAGGTGTTCTGCGTGCTCTTCCTTACTTTCGAGTACACCAGTATGTCATCTATGAACACAACTACAAACTTATCTATAAATTGATGAAATACTCTATTCATCAAATCCATAAACATTGCTGGGGCATTAGTCAATCCAAAAGGCATGAATGTAAATTCGTAATGCCCATATCTTGTCCTAAATGCGGTTTTTGGAATGTCTTCGTCGGCAATCCTTAATTGGTTATACCCAGATCTCAAGTCGATCTTTGAAAACACTGTGGCACCCTTCAGTTGATCAAACAGATCATCTATCCTTGGTAAGGGATACTTATTCTTTATGTTCACTTTATTTAGTTCCCTGTAGTCAATGCACAACCTCATACTTCCATCCTTCTTTTTCACAAACAGAACAGGTGCTCCCCAAGGAGAAGCACTTGGTCTAATGTACCCTTTGTCCGACAGATCTTGTAACTGCTCTTTTAATTCACTCATTTCTTCAGGTTCCATTCGATATGGTGCCTTGGATATTGGGGCTGTTCTGGGAACTAAACCTATAGTAAAATCGATTGCCCTCTTAGGTGGCATTCCAGGGATCTCCTCCGGAAACACATCTAGAAATTCGTTGACCACTTCTATATTTTCTGGATTTGTCACTTGTTCATGGTTCATATCCCTAACACTGCAGAAATATACTGGATGTCCCTTCTTCATGTACTTTGCTAATTTTAGCACTGATATTACCCTTGGGCACTTGGTTTTACCAATCCTCCAGTAAGTCACTGATTCATTTCCACTTGTGACCATATTCACTTTCTGTGATCTACAACTAATCTCAGCATTATACTTACTCAGCTAGTCCATCCCCAAAATAAGGTCAAAGTCGCTCAGCCCGAACTCAATGAGTTCAGACGGGAATATCTTTCCCTCTAA